AATTGGAATCTCCTATGACAGAACGTTATCGGAAGCTAGAAAATGTAAGTACTAATTATTGAAATTCTGTTTCATTTAGAGTAGTGGTCACCAGTTTATAGTTGTTCCTAAAACCTTAGAAATTAAAACTGAAAGGGGAGCAAAGTATGACATTCTTTGGTACTGTCCAGTACTGTTGTCCCAGCCAGCAAAGGTTGAAACCCTAGATGAGGGAGTAGGAGGGATTCAGTTCATCAAATATAACTTATGAAATGATAGGAAGATTGCATGGCATTTGAAGGAAATAAATCTGAAAACTTCTCTGATGTTTTTGTCTTTTTGTCTAACTTAGGAAGTAGAAAAATACAGAACAGAATATAACAAACTTCGTTATGAACATACTTTTCTGAAATCAGAATTTGAACATCAAAAGGAAGAACATGCACGTATTTTAGAAGAGAAGAAAATAAAATATGATGCTGAGGTATGTACATTTTAAGCTACTGCAAAATTCTATCTGATGACAAAGCTGCTTGAACATTGTGAAAATGTTGGTACTTGATGGGTTGTCAGTTTGACACCATTTCATAATGTAGTGTTTGTTTCCGTTCTCTTAATTCTCAGAACACTTTTATGACTTAGCCTAAAGCTATTTCTGTAGGTTTTTTCAGTCACGTGTTGCAATATGATTTGTGCTATTATAAGTAAGAATAGACTTGCCTTCTGATAAATGACAGCTAGTAGCTTTGCTTAATGCTTTTTTTAATCGCATTTATGATGGAATTTGAGACATTACGCTAATCTTAAATTAATAAGTTATCTGAGCAACTGATGTAAGTTTAGATTTTAAATTACTTATGTGGCAACTAATCCAAGAAGAAGGCAGCAGAAAATATTGTTAATATCAGACAAGGGTACATTTTGCGACTAAGTTGGATCATGACAGTGGTGGTGAAAAAGATGCTGAAAATTTTGGTAACTTTATTTCAGTTGTATTAACTCTTGAATAAACCATTCATGAATTTTCTGTTTCAGAATTGGACTTTGAAAAATGTAGCTAAATAAATTGCCAGCTTATTTATTTTTTAACTATATGCAGCAGTGTAAATGAGTGTTGCATATGTCATTTGCATATTAATTTAAGTATTTGTCTGGGAGCATGTATCGGAAGATGTCAGATTTGAATGTATTAGTCCAAGCATGAGACACAAATCAAAGCAATCATCGCCTTCAAAGTCAATCCAAATTTGCAAATGCAATGCATTAAAAACAGAACAGTTGTCCTTCCTGGAACTAAACCCACATGCTGCTTTACAGCCTGCCTCTCTTGTGGGCTTGTTGAGTTTGTGCTAGTCCTGCAGCTAATGAAGAAAATGAAACTACCTTGAGCCCAGGGGCAATGTGATCTAGTTTCTCTGTCTTAGAGCCTTTTTAACCTTCCATGCCATTTAGCGCAAGGACGCTACAAAAACATCCTAATTCTTAAATGGTGGCTTGTGCATGTCATGCAGTAAGTGTTTGAATCCCCTCATAAAAGGGATTTGGAGGGCTTTTGCTGCCGAAATTGGCTTTGCTCCATAGAAATTACTGATGCAACTTCTAAAAGCACTGCTGCAGATCAGAGTTTGGACTAGTCTCCAAATATCAAGAGAACTCTTACATACCTTAGTTTCTCACTCTTTTGACCCCAATTTTACGTTCAGTCTACGTAACTCATTTTGAAACACTAGAATCTCTATATTTATATGTTTGTTAGTTACAGTCTTGAGATTAGTTTGTAGAATTTGTACTACCTTGTAACAGAAAGTTGGTTTTTTTTTTTTTTTTTGCTTTATTTTCTGTCTGACAGGGCCAAATCATGTTGGCTGTCTTGTGTTACTAGCAGATTTGAGTTCTGTTGTAGTTATAGAATTGTGGAATCATAACGTAAGTTCGAAGATACCTCCTTCTAGTCCAACATCCTGCTTAAAATATTGAAGTGTAATGATATCGGGTTGCTCGGGGCCATCTGTGAGGATGGTGATTCCACAATCTTTCTGGGCAAACTATTCCAGTATTTAACCATCTTCAAGGTAAACTTTTTTCCTAACATCTAATTGGAATTTCACATGTTCCAGCTTGTGTCCGTTGCCTCTCTTCCCATCACCATGCATCTCTGAGAAGAGATCCATCTTCTCTGTATCCTTTTGTCATGTGTACAGAGGAATAACGTCTCCCCTGAGCCTTCTCTTCTCCAAGCTGAAGAGGCGTCATTCTCTCAACCTGTCCTTATATGTCATGTTCTCCAACGCCCTGACTGTCTTGGTGGCCATCCACTGGACTTGCTCCAGTCTGTCATTATTCTTTGTGTACTGGACGCAGACTCCAGATGCAGTCTTACAGGCACTGGAAGGGGACAAAGGATTACTTCCCTGGATCTGCTAGCTATCCTTCTGCCAATCTGCCAGGATGCAGTTGGTCATCTTTGCTGCAAGGGTACTCTGCTTATTAGTGTTCAACTTGTTGTCCGCTAGAACCCCCAGATCCTTTTCCATGGAGCTGCTTCCTAGCAGTTGCCCCAGCCTGTCCTGTTGCATTGGGTTACTCCATCCCAGGTGCATGATGTTGTACTTGCTCTTGTTGAAGAGGTTCCAGTCAGCCCATTCCTTCAGCCTGTCCAGATCCCTCTGAATAGCAGTTCTACTTTCCAGCACATTGACCATTTTCCCCCAGTTTGGTGTCATCCGCAAGCTTGCTGAAAATGTATTGCATCCCATCATCCAGGTCACTAATGAGGACAGGTCAATCAGTATTGGACCCTGTACTGATCTCAAAAAGACCCTGGTAGTTACAGTTAGCTAGCTGGGCTTTGCACCACTGATCATTACTCTCTGAGCCTGGCAGCCCAGCCAGTTTTCCACCCATTTTATCATCCACTTACTCAGCTCACATCTCACCAATTTGGTGAGAGAAAAGACTGTGGAAGACTGTATCAAAGGCCTTGTTAAAGTCAAGGTATATGAGATCCACTGCCCTCTCTTTGTCTGCAGTGCCAGTCACCTCTTTCTAGAAAGCAGAGAAGTAGGTCAGGCATGATTTGCCCTTGGTAAACCCTGCTTTCCACCACCTTGTCTTTCATGCATTTAGAAATAGCTTTTAAGAGGTTTTGCTTCATAACCTTCACAGAGACTGATGTGAAGCTGACTGTCCTGTAGTTATCTGGATCCTTCTTCTTGACCTTTCTGCTCTTGATGATGGATGTGCTGTCTGCCTCTTTTCAGTCATCAGGAACCTTCTCTGATTGCCATGACTTTTCAAAGGTGATAGAGAACAGCCTTGCAATGATATCAGTGAGCTCCTTCAAAAGGCTTTGATCCATTCTAAGGACTTGAGTGTGTTCAGTGGATTAAATTGTCCCTTACATTTTCTTCCTCTACTATGGGTACTGCTTTACTCCCACAGACTGCTAAGGGGCTCAGGGACATCTGAGGCCTGAGAACAAACCTTATCAGTGAAAACTGAAGCAAAAAAGACATTGAAGAATGGGTCTGTTGATTTTCCTAGTCTAAGAAAGAGAATAAATGTGAATGTAATTTCTTAGTATTTTTAATGCACACTGCTGCTCTTTCCTGAATTGTCAACTGCTGTATTTGTTGCTGCCTGATACCTAACCAATGTAAAAGCTTTTATTTTTCTTATTAACATTATCAGATTGCAAGGTTGGATAAAGATAAAGAAGAACTCCATAATCAGCTCCTTAGTGTTGATCCCACGAGGGACAATAAACGCGTGGAGGCACTCTCTAGAGAAAAGGCACAACTGTATCAGAAATTAAAAGGTTTAGAAGCAGAAGTAGCAGAACTAAGAGCAGAAAGAGACAATTGTGGTGTGCAAGCAGAAAATGTTCAAAGAGTACAAGTACGACAGTTAGCTGAGATGCAGGCTATGACAAGGTCTCTAGAGGTAAGACTGATTTTTTTTTTTTCTTTTTTTTTTTCCTCTTTCCAAATTTTGCTTCCTTGTAGAGTGTAGTGAGAATAACGCTTGGCCTGATAGAACTGTCGCTGAAGTCACTGATAATTTTGCCATTGACTCCACAATTAGAATTTGTACATTTCAGATTTAAAAACAAATTGTAAGTACATTGGGAGTCATGTACTGCCAATTCAACTTTGGAAAGGTGGAGAGCTCAACTGAGAGATTCTGTTGAATGATCTCTTTTCTAAATACGCGAGTGCTACGTTTGTGATGTTTGCAGTCAGTAAGATGTTCATGTCAGCATTTGTCACTTGGCTGGAGTTAGAAACTGATGACAATATGTTAATAGTCTGCTACAATAAATTTTTTTATTCTTTTCAAAAATGTCATATGATACTCCCCTATTTCTTTAATCCTTTCCTTGTGTGTAGTCATCTTTCTTGCCTACCTGTGTCTCTCCTTTCTCCAATACATTACTGCAATTGTTTAGTTCTTGGCTGTTGCTCTCCCTTAAAGAACCTTTGGTATTTCTGGCCTGTTGTATGTTTCCCAGGGTTCCACTGTATTCCTCATCTGTGGTCTTCAGTCCTCCTGTCAGTTCTTGCTATCTCTCTAGGTAGCGAGTCTTTCCATGTAGATTTCTCGCACAGTTGCAGCATACAGATAGACGGTTCATTTTCCTTTTTACTGTTATCAGTGCTGTATACCGTTGTTACAAAATGCTCTGATCACAACTTAGAAAGAAAAGTGCTGTAATATTCTTAATTTAGAAAATTTTTTTAAAAGTCCTGCTGGAAATAGGTCAGTTCAGAAAAAGGAAGGTGAAATCATAGCTTAGATTACCTTTTTGATACTTAGTAAAGCTCAGGATCTTGAGTCTATAATACACACAGTAATTGCATTTTATTTCCTCTCCATGATGTTAATTCTTCTGTTAGTGTAACTGTATAGGCCAACATATGACATCTTTTTGAGCACCACTTACAGTCATACTGGTGTTTACAGCCCAGTAATTTACTGATAGGAATACCTGCTGCCTCCTAAGTCAGATTACCTCTGCCTCTTGTGAAGTAGGATTGAAAATGTGTGTCATTCTGTGCAGGCAGTGTTAGTAAAAACAGTTGTGACTTTTGAATAAAATGCCAGACCCTTGTATTGGAACATACTGTTGAGCAAAGATAAATATTTATATATTACTATATAATATAAAAGGTCAGTAATATCTGAAAACCCAGATCAATTAAACCTTTCAAGTGAATAGCAAGAGACAGCCCTGCTCCAAAAATCTGACAAATACATCCTTTATTCAAGGCGGAAAAGAAGTCTGCTGAACTACAGATTGATCGAATTGAGAAGGAACTACGGATGAGTCATGAGCAAAACATTCTCTTAACTAGTAAACTTCACAAATCTGAACGAGAAGTCAATTCTTTAGCTGCTAAAGTAAGTGCTTTTATGGTATCTGAAATACATTTTTCATATCTTGTTATGTTTAAGTTTTTCGTAACTTTATTAAGAATAAAGTAACATTGTCTTCTGCTGTGACTTAAAATGGGTTTGGATTTTTTTTTCCCAGTTTCAGTTGGAGGATATAGAATATGTGACTTTACAGGAAAAACATCATCCCTAAAAGTATCTCTAAAGACTGAGGTTATGCTCTTTTTATTTGATTTTCTAGATCTTTTTTCTGAACAGAACAGGGCTCGAAGAGGTGTCTTTATATTCATGTTTTTAGTACTCATGAAAACAGCCAGCCTTATTTGACAGAAACAAGCATTGCTCTTTCATAGTGTGTAAAGTGCAATAGAGCTTCAAATTGATTTTTTCTTTCTTTTTTTTTTTTAAATGGAGCTATGGCTTCTGGAGATATTAAAAATATGCTCAATGGGCTATGTTAGCTACAGGAAGCAAGCTGCATTGGAATCACTTGCGGAGATTTAGGTTATATTAGAAGCAGGATAGTCACATTAGCATAGCGTTCTTCTTGGGCTAATGCCAGCATAGCTTGTACAGAAAAATTTCTGTACAGCACTGCATCATATCATTTTAAGTAGATCATTGTCTTGCAACATGTTTGAGTATCTTAGTCGTTCGGTTGGCACCAGATCTTAGAGGTTTTGTTCTGTGTTTGTATGCCTTTTTTTTTTTGTGATCTTAGAGACATTTCTAGAAAAATACTTAAGAAAAAAAAGATCAGAAGGCTTCTAGTTTAGAGAAAACCTGAAAGTGCTTAAGAAACTTGACATCACTGTTTAGTATTTCAGCATAATTACTTAGTATGGATGCCAGATTCAGAGTTTTACCTGGTTGCAGTGACTCCTCAGCTACGTAACTTAAAAAAGACAGATCCTTTATGAAATTTCATATGTAATTATTTGAATAAACAAGAAAAATCAAAACACTAGTAAACTGTTTTACCTTCAAATGTTGCAGAATAGTTACATTGCTTTATGTAAATTTGAGTGAGGAAATAGTTACTTGGGTAAATACTAGCTTTTTGCTGTTTCTTATTCCCTCTTTTCTGGAGAGGATACCTGGTAATAAATTTTTACCGCATCTGTCAGTTCCTGGTAGCAAATTTAATCCCCTGTGTTTTCTTACCTTTCTGGAGAGGCTTTAGTTAGTTCTGAGCTAACTGTAAAGCCAGTAACTTTGGTCTTGTATATCTAGCTGGATGCAGAATTATTTTAAGCTCTCTATTGTCTTAAAGCTATCCTGCATTTCTGAATATACTTTCCAAAATAACACTGACATGCGCTTTGTATGGATATGGCAGTTAATATTGTCATAATATGCCTCAAGAAGGATACAAGAAGGAAGAAAACTTTAACTTCTACTATAGTTGTTCTTTAACAATCTCAGATTTCATTCAAAACAGGCTTTACAGTGCACATTTATGAGTGTGAAGTATTTCATTTTGGTCCTTAATCCAAAAAAGTTCTAATTTACTGTAAGAATAGGATATACCTATACCAGTATTTAAAACCTCTTTATACAACATGTCATACTTGTCTCACATGAATAATAAATAGGAGGGGAAAACTTCTGTTAAACATTTTTTAATCAACTGTTTATCAGAATATATAGAAGATTGTTACGGTCTTTACTTTTTCTATCAAGTGGTGTTCTCTGCTCGCCTCCAGAAGGAGGAGAAAATTAAAATGTTTGGTGGTGTTTCTTGAAGGGAGGAAAGTAGAAACTAATTTCTATACTAACCTCCACCCCTTTCTGTATCCACTCAAACTTATTCCTGAGCACAGGTGCACGCATTTGTCTTCTGGATTTTGTGCCTTAAAAAAGCTACCTTAAATCTTTGCAAGTTGCCCTGAAATGTTCTCAATTTAGTATTTAAGCAACCAAATCCACCGTGTAGTTACTTAATAAGCTACTATGTCATTCTTAACCTTTTGCCACTTGTATATGCTAGCAGGTTGTAATTACATTTGTCATTGTGAATGGATTTTCATTATAAGTGCTTTCCTCTAGATGTTTAATTCTCATTGACCGTATAATTACTGCGTACAAATGCCTAAACTATAGAAAGTTTCCATGCAAGCAGTAATTGTCTTTGATTTTATGTTCTTAAAGCTCCTGTTTTTATGAGGCTATTTGATGTGTATGTCACAGCTGTAGAGCTGCACTTTAACACTACGAAGACCTGGATTTTGAGAAAGTAGTGTAGCACTCCAGGAGGTCGGGGACTATAAGTAGTTACCAAGTTGAAATTACTTGGGGGAGCAATTGATAATCTGGTTTTGCATATCACTGTTTTGTTTTACTTAGGGATATTAAATGTAACTTTATTTTAGCTTGACTCTGAGGGATCTTTAGTTGGAAGTGAAGTATGTGTAAACTGACATGCTACTGCTTGAGTTAACGAGGCATCAGGGTCTTATGCAATTTGGATCAGTGTCATAGCAAGATATTTCCAGTGAGTAGTCTTTTCAGAAATACCCCAATATTCGGAGGCTAGCTTGTAGAATGTATAGTATTTACTCAGAAACCAAGTTTTCACAGGCAATCCTGCGCATCTGTGCATGTGTCACCAAGGCTTCTTAAAAGAGTAACTTTTCTACACTGTAGCTTGTAATAACTGGCTGGTTAAAGACGAAATACATGTCAACAGTCAGACAGCCTGGTTTCTGGAATATATGTTGTGTTCGAGCACTTTAATTTTTTTAATCAGGGAATATATAAAACTTGCATTTCAAGATGACTGACAACTCATTCAATAATCTCCAGTGTGTGACTTGAGGAATTAATAAAAACCTGTAATAGCACTGATTATGATTTCGGGAATCAGATCATGTCAATAGCTTTAGTGTTAACAGTATCTATATAAAAATTTAAAATTATCTACAGGAGTAGATATTCTGGATTGGTTTCAGGAAAGCAGTGGATGAAAAAATTATTTAAAGTATGTTTAAAATAAGCATAGTCCATGATTATTTGGGAGATTTTCTTGTTAGCAAAGTATCACGTGAAAAACTTAACAGTAAAGCTGCAAATATATATATATAATTTAGTTGATTTGTTTTTTTTTTTCTAATTCATAGGTAGAAGAACTTAAACATTCATATAAATTGGAAGTAACAAATGTCAAACTGGAGGCAGCAAGAACAAAGAGTGAGGTAGAAAGAGAGAGAAACAAGATTCAAAGTGAAATGGATGGTAAAATGTGCAATTAATTTCTAACGATTTCTTTTGTAACTTCTAGTTAGAATACTAAAATTATTTTCCTCCAAACATTCCCCAGCAGCCTTCACCACCTACTTCTGGTCTAGGTCACAGATCTGACAATTCATTTTGTATCTGAAATAACTGTGTTGTTTCACTTGGTCTACTAGGTTAAGAAGAACAGTTACAGAACAATTTTGCATTTATGTAAATTAGTGAATTTGCTACACAATTTGAGCATAATCTGTTTCAAATCATGTACTTCATATGGTTATTTTTTCTATTATTGCCAAATTCTAGAGTCTTTCACACTCTGCTTGAAACCTTAATGTACCGTAGGGCTTCAGTGGTGGTTTTGTTTTCTCATTCTGTGTCCATGGAATTGTTAACAGTTGGGTAAGGCTGCCATGTGAAACAGAATACAATTTCTAGCTCCTTCTTTGAAGAAAATAGGCAATGTTCTAAGCTACCTAATACAGCTGAGTATGTAGGCAACTTGAAATAGCTTTCTAGAGTGAAAAGGCCAAAACTTTCTAGTACTAGTTATGTGTTGATGATTTAAATCACTACACAGCTTTTAAGTGGGCTGTCCTCACTGCTTTGCCATGACCCCAAAATATTACCTTCGTCTTCCTGGAATAGTTGATTCTGTTCACTTGCTTTAATATTAAGTTCTCTTAAGAGCAACTAAAGTGGTGTTTTCTGTATTGACAATGCACTTACAGGATATTGTGAATTAAAAATGTTGGACTCTATGAAGTACGAAACTACATACAGACAAGTTTTAAGCTAACCTGAACTTGCTGTGGAATCCAGTTTGCATCACTAATTAGCTAAATAACCAGGAGTCATTGTTATAGCATGTTGGCTTATTTGCCAGTGAACGCAGGTGTCTTGGTCGCAAGTTTTTCATTTGCATCTTTTGTCTCTTTTGGTAATATGAGTGGATTAAAATGTGAGATTTGTTGTAGCCAGGTTACTATGGTTTCACTGGTAACCAGTTACTGTTTACCATAAACTTTTCCATAAAAAGAAAATAAGGTTTCTTGCTTGACCTTTTCGCAGTTATTGTGGACCACTTCTGGGTTTGTGTGTGGTTGGGTTTCTTTTGGTGTGGTTTTTTGTTTTTTTTTTTTATCCTGACACAACTGCTTAGCAGAAATTGCTTTAGCGTTTAAATCTATAACATTATCAACTGTTTAATTACTTTTGTATGTTAAAATAATAAACCCTTGTAGGCAGAGATTCCATTGTAATGGTTACTTTTCAAAAGTTTTTGAAATGTTGCTGTTATACTAAGAAAGGCCATGTCTCTTCTCTTTTTCTTGTTTTTTTCCCATTCATTCATTCAATCATGTGAATTGTGATTTTTAGCTCCCTTTTATCAATTTATAAAGTTATTTTAATACTGGATTTTATCAGGTTGATATCAATAATGACATTTTAACTTTTTTTAATGTATAATGCAGGATTGCTGTCAGACAAGGAAATTCTTAAGGCAGCTGTTGAACGTCATAAGGTGCTTTTAGTAGAAAAGGATCGGGAGCTAATTCGTAAAGTGCAAGCTGCCAAAGAGGAAGTTTTTGAAAAAATTGCAGCCTTACAGGATGAAAAGTATGTTTGTTAATTTACTGCTCAACTTCTAAAAGAAGAGTGTTTTGAGTAACTTTTAAAAACGTCATTCTTGGCAACTAAACACTTCTGGCATTTTGGCATGATTCTTGTGTACATGTTGAATAATGTCTTAGGTTAGAACTCGAGAACAGATTAGCTGATCTAGAGAAAATGAAACTGGAACAAGATACGTGGAGACAATCTGAAAAGGATCAGTATGAAGAGAAACTACGTGTTGTACAGATGGCAGAAGAATCTAGCAAAAAGGAACTTCAGCGTTTGCGGTAGTGTGGCTTTTCTAACCTTAACACAAATTCCTCATTTTTTTCCCCCCTAATTTCTTTACAGTTTTCAGTATAAAAGTTTACTATTCATAGATACACAAATGTTCGTTGTGGTAAATTAAGCAAAATTATCTTTGGCATTGTGTAAAAAGAAGGCAGAAGTGAAAATGTGCTGTTTAAAAAAAAAAAAAAACAAAAAAACAAAACCCAAAACATTTTTCATCTAAACCTTTAAAAATTATATGATTTTAATGAACATTTTTAAGACATAATTTTGCAATACTCATGTTTGTTAAAATTGGCTCCTGGCATAGCCCCAGCATTAGAGTAAGCCATTTCTCTTTCCACGATGGCACCATATCAGCAACTGGCAAACTGGGACCCTAATATGATATCTCTTTGTGTTGGTTATTATAGTTCTCAGTGAAGTTGTTTTGCTATAGTATTTGTATGAAGGTCAATATGATAAAATGAGCAAAAGTCATACTCCAAAAGCAAACAAATCAACGTATTTCTTACTCCTATGTGAAGTCTAATAATCAATAAAATATATTTTTAATCATTGTTTGGTTAAATATTTATCAGCCTTTCAAATTATGCAATATATTCTATTGTCAGACTGATTTTTCCTAACTTCTAACATCTATATTTTAATTAGATAAAAATAAGGATGTTTTATACAATTTTAGATTAAAAATTCAGCAGCAAGCTATTCAGACAGAGGAGTTGGAAGAAAAGAAACGTGAAAGTGCTGATCTGAAACAGGTAAGGTTTTAGTGCATTTTAATGTTTTATGGAGAAATACAATCTTTCCTGCAGTTACCATGTCCAGTGTTTGAAGATTAGATTGAATTTTTAAGGCGTTTTTTTCCTGAGGGACAAATTGCATACAACAGATATTTAAAAACGAAAAGTGTTCAAAAATCAGTCATGCTTTCCTGGACCTTTATAGATGGATTACAGCTTTTTGCTTCATGTGTATTGTGGGTATCAAGGATTTCAAAGCTGAATGTTTATAGACTGGTATATTGAATATGGTTATGCACTATTTAACTGGAGATTCAGTTTCCATGGAGACTTACAAATTGTTTCTAGGTAATGCTTTGCATTTACACTGCATCTCTCATCTGAGGTTCTTCAAGTGCTTAACAGGTGTTTCATAAATGAATAAACTAGTGTAAAAAGGTATATTTCTATTGCAGAGTGAATTGATGGCAGTGTTGAAAATAAAACCTAATTCTTTTAACTCCTGCTCGCCTATGATATTTAGTAGGTAAGAACATAGCTGTGCATCAAATTAGTCTGCAAGCTGTGTGCACTTGAAGTTCAAGGCATTATTTGTTTTTCCTCCAGAAATCAGAAACTGGGGTATCTGAGAGTGCATGTGGGGAGAGGAAAAGGAAAGGGAAAATCATCCTTTCCATGCGCTGCTGGCTGCAGAGATTGGACTTTTCAGACTCTATACTTACTTGTTTTTGTGAACTGGTTGGTACAGCCACTGCAGGCTGTAACACGTTGTGCATTATGAGAGGGAAGAGTCTGGGTAGCTCCACAGCTCAGCTACTAAATGTTGTGTGGTGCTCTAGTTCTGTTCAGCCCTGGGGTTTAATGTCGGATTTCTTAAGTTCTGGGGAACTCATCAATGACTGAAGATTCCTGCCTCCCTTTCTCTTTCTCATTTTAACTACAATAGAAAATCTTTCTTGTCTAATAGTGATTTACTGTAAAGCTTCTGGAGAAGCTTTTGAGTAAGGAGAAAAAGAACAAATAAGAAAGGCTTATGAAAAGCTAATGCAGCCCGTTGGTGTCTACATTTTACTCTATCTCAGTATCTCAAAATTAATTTAGTTATTTGCATATCTTCTTAAATGGAAAAAATTCATTTCTTTGTAGCAAATGCACAACATGCAACTCCAGTTTGCCTCACTTTCTCAATCAGAAAATGATTTACTAGAGTCTAATCAGAAGCTGAAGGAAATAATAGAAAGATTGAAACAAGAATGTCAACATGCAAGGACTCAGGCAGAGAAAGCTCAACTGGAAACAGAGAAGTAATTTTTTTCTTCTTTTTGGCTTTACTTTTCCTTTTCATATTGCTTGTATTACTTTCATGTGGATTACTTAGTATGGATTGTAGATTCTGAATAAAGTCTGAAATTAAAAATGAACAGGAAATATTGGACAATTGTAAAAAATGGGTATACCTTCTGTTGTGCAGTATATATCAAAGCTTTGCTTGTGATAACTTCCAAAATAGGAGTTTGTTTCCATTCATGTCCGTTACAATTCTTGACTAGTGAAATACACTGTTTTTATAGAATGAGATCCTATCTATATTGAAGTGAACATCAAACTTATATTAGTTTAAGTGGATCCAGAGTTTCACACATCGTTCTTTTAAGAGTGTTTAAGCATTAAGAGTGAAAAAAGCGTTTAAGCACTGTATTATGCCTTGATAAGATTTCAAGGACCCAGTCTGTATATGTGTGTATAAACTTTTTTTTCCCCTCCCACTAGATCCTTTTAGCTGATATGAGGCAAGTAAAAGCTTACTGGATATCTTCTAGTTGCTCTCATCAAAATTAAAAATAATCTCTTCTGTTTTTTGCACGAGCTTGACCACATAAAATCAAAATATGCTAATAAGTGCTGAAGGAAAACAAATCTTTTTCAGAGCCCATACAGTAATGAACACTTTCCTGGAATTTAAAGATTAATTTGTCAGTCTGAAATGGCTCTTTAATATTTCCTAGATTAATAACCAAATACATGTCTAATTTGTACTGGATTATTGTGTGGTGGGTTTTTAAAAAAAGTCGGCGTCCTAGATTAAATAGAAAACTTCCAAGAGGTATAATGTAGCATTTTTTGTTTTAACTTTGCTACAAATTGGTACTGCAATTGCTGCTTTGTCATTAGCTTAAGTATTGCTTTTCAGTTTAACATTTGAAGAAATTACTGCATTAGGACTGCAGAGTATGTTCAGTTGTCATAGCATGTTAAATACTTTGGATGTTTACTTTAGGAAGGTGTATTCATATCTTGAGTGAGACTGTCAATGGCATTTACATATTTATGGGCCATAGACCAGTCAGGAGTAGGTTTTCCTGGGAAGGCAGTGGAAGGAACTTGGCAGTCCTCAGAGATTGTTGTGTAAGTATGTAGATAACGGGAGATGCACCAAGGCTGATACTGCAGAAATTAAGCAGCTTTGCAGCCTACATGTAAGTCCTCCAGGTCCGTCCTGCTGTTACCCTGGAGAGCCCTGGGACGCGTTTCCATTCTTTTTTTGACTCTGTGAGTGATAGGATCCTTCCTCAGTTCAGTAATTCTTACGGGTTTGAACTCCAAGAGTTAAGTTGCACCAAAGCAACTTGGCTTAAAGAGGAAGTGAAATAAGGACCAAAAGATAAGAAAACCTTATACTCAGGCTGCCCAGGGAAGTGGTGGAGTCGCCATCCCTGGAAGTATTTAAAAGACGTGTAGATGAGGCGCTTAGGGACATGGTTTAGTGCGCATGGTGGTGTTGGGTTAACGGTTGGACTTGATGATCTTAGAGGTCTTTTCCAACCTTAATGATTCTATGATTCTATGATTCTATAAAAAGTTTCAGATAAATAAAATAATGCCAGTTGAGCCATAAGTAGGCAAAGCAGCTGCCTGCCTGGCTGTGTCAATCTTAGGCTTGGGAATGAAAATGTGAAATGAAAAAAAGGGCTGAAGGCAAACTATGAGACTGATATAGATCAGAGATGAGCTCAAACAGGCACTTGTTAAGCATTTCAGGAACAGCATTAGTAGCATTTAAAAAAAAAATTTCATGGCATTTTTAACCACTGTCTCAATTGAAATTCTTTTGCTGTTAAACAGTGCTTTTTGAGAAAGCTCTTTGGTTCCTGGGTAGTAGTAGTTATTTACAGTCAACAGCAAGGTACAAAACACACTGGGTCTACTAAAAGAACTGTGACAGGTACCAAGTGGGCCAGGATCCTGGTGCTGAGATGAGCGTGGATGACTCCTAATACTTCTGCTGTGGGGAAGGGAAAGACTGTTCAGTGAGAAATGTATGGAGGTTCATTCAGAGGCCCTGTAGGGAACTTGCATCAGCCCAGGACTGGAGTGGTATGGGTGCACTGATACTAAGCCTTGGACTGCATTTCTTAAAAACTGCTGCACAGAATCTCACCATTTTGATTTTTTTATAGTAATGTATTTAAATATGCAGTTAGTTCTTGTCTGCTTTGACCCACAATGCAGATAGCCCAAACAAACAAGGCAACAGAGAGAAAGTGGCTCCTTTCCTATCCACTGCTAGAGAACACAGCCTAATTTTAGTATGTTTTAACCATGCAAAGGCCTAACAGATAACATATGTTGTTGGTAGTGTGTGTTCAGCTGGAATGTTGTCTAGGAACCATATCGGTGGGAGCTTCCTGTTGTGTTGGCGTTTGTTCTGGTTGGGAGCACACACTAGTCAAGTCTGTACTTCTCTGTTAAAAAAAGCATAGTAGACCGCACAGGGCAGCAACCTATTCTCTTACATCTTACCTCAGCTCTTCTGACAACTGATGTTTGGCATAGGTGTCTACTGTTGTGTTCCAGTGCGATTATTTGATCTAAATTTAGAAATTTTCCATGGATGGTTTGGCAACATGCCAAACCAACAAAGAACCTACAATTAACTAGCTTATTGGAATCAGTTTTCAAAATACGCCTCGTAGTTGAACAAAACCTAGGATGATGTTAATGCACAGGTTCAATTTTGGTGAATCTTTAGCACAATCAAATTTAAATCAGATCCTTCAAGCGTATAAACGTAGGAGTTGTGAATAGATGCATTTTAAGAGCCTGGAGACATTAATCAAATGCATTGCTTTGTCTATATAATCTCTTAATCTTTTTACCTGATTTTTTCAAAGGACTTTAGAATACAAACGTATAGAATGGCTGGAGGAGAAGCATGTGCTTACTCAGCGCATCACAGAGAAAGAAGAGAAATACAACCAAGTGAAGAACAAGCTATGTCGAGCTGCTGTTGCTCAGAAAAAGGCATGTTGACTCCCCCTTTATGAATGATCCAACTTATTAAAAGTTCAGCTTTACTTTGGCCAGTGAGAATTGTTTTATTATTAAGAGTTTATTTGCAATCTACTGAATATAGTAACAAAATATATAGGTTCTTCCAGATTAGCATAGAAATAGGTTGAAGTGATACGCGAAAAAAGTTACAGCCAACAACTTTGTTATAATGCCATCAAAGATTTTGTGAGGCTTTGTGTTTGTGTGTATATATATGGTTATTTAAGAGATGGACTCCTTGATTAGTAAGGATGATGTTTTGGATACCAGACAAATGATGTTCTGCTTTTCCCTGATGGAGTATTAAAATTTCATATCTTCTCCTAAGCTTGCTTTTTATGAAATAACTTGAAAGGAAAAGCTGATTAATTGTTTATAAAAGTTCAAGATTAATTGGCAGTGTTATACATTGGACATACACAGGTTATGAAACCTACCAGTAGCTTTTAAGGTTGTTAAAAGTTGAAGTCAACATGGGGGGGTGAGGGTGGGGAGAGGAAAAAAAAAGCATACTTTTTTTGTCATGTTTATACTTATTTATACACGGTCATTTAAGGAATGAATTTTCTAATTCTCAAATACATTTAGTGTTTGTTAGTACAGCAAGTCACTGACCAACGACTGACTGACAGCTGTGCATCTTTCAGTTGCAGCTATGGATCATTTCTCATCTCTTTTGTTTCCCATCACGGGGATTCAGAACCTTCAAACAACACAGCACTTCTTAAAGAAGGAAAATCCTAAAAACTGTCACGGCTTTAAAACCACATGCAGTGTAGATTTAATTTTTACAGGATCTAATCTATCAAGGCATTACTTAGCTCTGTTTGAAATGTCTGTTTGACAGAGAAAGACTCTCAATGATAATAAACAAAGGAGGATGCAAGAGAAACTAGAACTTTTGGAAGCCAAGATAGAAGAGCTAGAAAAAGAAAATCAGGTGCTAAATAGGTAATAAACTTTGCTTTTTCTTGGCATGAAAAATGATATATGCCCAAGATCTGACTTACAAATATGAAGTAATTTTGAAGATACATGACACTTAGTTTAGTAACTGGAGTCCAATCTAATGACACTTTCAGCATTAGAATTCTTTGAATGGAATCCATTTAGGATGGACAGCTAAGAGTTTGAGACAACTGCAGGGCTGTCTCTTCAGGAAGAAATGGAGGAAAAATATCTGATACGCAGTTGCAGGAATCCCTTCAAAAGAAGGAAGTATGTAAAAAAGGAGGTGTGGCAGCGAAGCAGTGTTAGAGTTGAAAGTACAGTATGTGAAAATAAATGGAAGATGGGAAAGAAAAAGACTTCAGAATTGCAAGAGAAACAGACTTAGCATCCTCTCTGAAAGACAAGCTTTTTTTTTTTCTCTTCACTGAGTACCTATGGGGGGGTTGATTCAAATAATTGATTTAATGTGGCTCCTGTGGCTCACTACTGTGAATGCTATCAAAAGCTTAATTTATTCCATGTAAATTCTAATCTGTAATACAGCAGATAGCTTAATGTGTAGAGGGACTTTTAGCTAGACATTTAGGCAGAAGAATACACACAGATCTTCTACCTTCCAGTTTTTCTGGTATATAGTTTTCCTTTGTAGGCATAATAAACAGTAGAGTATTCGTGGAGAGGGATGCTTCTGTGTTAGGATAATAAAGATTTTGAGCAGTAAGAAATCTCTTATTTCCTAGGCAGAATGTTTCCTATGAAGAATACGCACGCCTCCAGAAGAGACTGAAGGACTTGCAACGTAGACACAATGAATTCCGGAGTTTAATTCTGAATCCTAACATACCGTCACTCAATCCAGTCAGTATAATGTCATCATCTGCCTTGCCTCCTGGGCCTGAAGTGTCCTTCCCCCTTCTTCAGGTGGTGATGTATTACAAGTTGTGAAAATAATACAACAAAAGAGGGTACTAGAACAGTCCTACGTTACAGAACTTAGTCTTAAGGAAGGAGTATTTGATCTTTGAACAGAGGAAGGAAACTTTGAGGAATGCTTCTAGCGATGTTCCCTTCCTCGCAATAGGAAGGAGTTCTTGAAAGACAAACGATACATTACAGAATGTACAAATGGGCAGTTTTAACCCAGTTCCCCGTACTTTGTCCCTCTCCTGAGAGGCTTGAAATGGCTCCTTCTGGACAAGAAATACCATAGTGGTGTTCTCACACCACAGTTTCATTATTAAAAAGCAGCATTGCTGCTCTTGATTTCTTGTGTGGTTAAAAGAGTTTTACTTACTCTGGTGAGCTTCTGAGGGTGAAAATCTCTCTGGCTGAGGTTGACCAGGCTGACTTTACAGATTCTTGGTAACTGAGACCTCAGGTCTGCGCACCTCTTCATCTGAGAGGAGGAACGCCTGCACGTGTATTTCTCGTTGATGCTGTTCATCATGAATGTTAGAACAATACCCACAAAACATTGAGGAGTAAAATGTAGTGAATAAGGATATTTTGGACTTCACAATTTTTATTTTAAAATCATTAATTAAACAAAATGAAATTATCACTCATTTTGGTCCATTGTAGGCATGCAAAATGTACTAATGTACTTTCTTTAAAAATTTATTTCAAGGAGGAACAGCATCAAAGAGAGCTTTCCCTGCTTCGCAAGCGGTTGGAAGAACTAGAAACCACACAGAGAAAACAGCTGCAAGATCTTGGACCATCTCGAGAACGAGTAACGGTGGGTGCACACGGGGACAAGATTGCTGGAGAAGGCGATGCACGAAGTGAGGACTCCAAATAGAATCTGCAAACTCTACATGCTGTTAGTTTTCAATAGCTTCTCTTTTTTACGTGCTTTTAGTATTTTGCCAAAAACACGCTTGTATGTGCCTGAATAGCATAAAATATATTCTGCATAGTTTTGTATTTATTTTTGATAGACTGTCATAAATTATCAAGTATCATGGTTCAAAACAAAACCATTAAAAGATTAACTAAATTTTGAAATGTTTTTATATAAAGCAAAATTATTTGGAAGTCAAAAACATGAAATAATCCCTTCACACGAAACTTTAAAAAACATTTATCAAAGTTTGGGTGGTGCTGACATTTAAAATAAAAATTAAGATCAAATTTTTTTGATAAATCCTTTAAAACTTGTTTGATAATATCCTCTTACTCCTTCAATGTAGAAGTCACTGTACCAGTGTGGAGTTTTGCTGGGTTGCTGTTTTGATTGTTAACAATGCTGTAATCCACATTTGGATTGTTATTTTGAAGTTCCCATGCAGATAGAGAGGATGAAATGAAATTGAAAAAGTGCTGAAAACTTTTATTTGCTACCCTTGACAATGTGCCTCTTGTGTTTTTTATAATGGGAATAAGCAATAATTGGGTTTTTTAATATAATGTAGTAGAAATGAAGTATAACAAATTGCCTTCACATTATGAAAATGTAAGTTTGTATTTGTTGCTACTGTTAATTTGTTTACTTAACTAACATAAAATTATTTATTCAAGGTTGAATGTATTTATTTAAAATCTTTTTTTCCCCCCCTTAATTATCAGTTTAGTAACGGAAACTTGTGAAGGATCAATTCATTTTCCTGGAAGTGTAGGAATGATTTTATCTGGTTTTTTGTTTGGTTTTGGGGTGTTGTGGGGTTTGTTTTTGTTTTGGTTTTTTTCCCTTCAAAATACTGCAGTGAAAGTATGAGACAGTGAGATATGCAGTGTGATTTCTTTTAATAGCTTACTTGGTATTGTTATTAGACTGTAGTAATAGACAACGGAATTAACTACATTGCATATGGTGACACTGTCATTGATTCAACTTTTCTCTCCAAAGGCTGCATTATTTTTCCATAAAGTACGTAAGTATAAGGATTGTACTGCACTTTCTTGGGGAATTTGTTAAGACTTCTCTGAGGAAAACAGTGTGATTATTAGAAGTAACAAACTATTTCTACTGTCTCCTGCAGGATTAATTTGGAAAACCTGTGCCTGAGCCAGCTTTGCCACATGTAATGTTGACTAACGTTTACCAGTGTACGATGGTTGCAAAGCGCTAGCTCCCGACAGCCTCGCATTTCTGTCCCCGCCTCTGGTTATGTGGTCTTCAGTGAGACTTTTATCTGGTGTCGGGGGGCCGGGAGGGTGGTTTATACAAACTAGGGAAGCCTTGCAGGGCGGAAAAAGGGTAACAGCAGGAGGAAGAATGATGGTTATCTGCTGGTTTCTGGGCTCCCTTTCCCAGTCTGTCTCAGGCTCTTTGCGCAAGAGTTATTTTCCTGTCCCTGCAGGACCCTCTCCTGAGAGAATGGCTATCAAGTTATCTTAGTTTTTAATATTTTTAGCTTTTTAAAAGTATCATCAGCCTTAAAGCAATGAAGTTGTAGTGCGGCTGCTGACGGCTGTGTGGAGGTGTAGCGGGCACTGCACCTTCAGCTGCTCAGCAGCTGCTGGGTTTCAGGCCAGCACCTCTGCAGCCCCGGCATCACCTGATGCTGCGTTGTACCTTCCTCTTTTTGTACTTCCCGACTTCAGTGTGACGGGGTGGTTTGTAACACTTGGTGCCCAGCCCTGTGGCTCTGCCTGCAGCCTGGCAGGGCTGGAAGGGCAGCAGTACTTCTCAGCTGACGCCCATCAGTGTCTTATACCCCCTTCCTTGCATGACCTTGGTATTGCTACAAGCTGTGCTTGCTTTTAACCATTTTAAAGTACACAAGTTAATCAAAATAACCTCCAAATGCGTTTTATTCTAGATAAACCCATACAAACACCAACATGTATTTGTCATTTGCACTTTTTTTAACCATTCATTTTAAACAACAGGTTAACTTCTGTACAACAGGAATTACTTTACACATTAGTAAGCTTTGACTTTAAACTAGATGACTGCAAAATAATGCTCTGTAAGCTAGTGTTAGAAAATACACTGTTTGCTATAGCAGTTTGCCTGTAAACATGTGAAAATAAGTTCAAGAGAAGTTTGCTTTCATTTCAGAGAATGCTACTAGAATTGTTGGGCTGCCATATACCGCTTTAGTCAGAGGTGGTTCTTTTTGTCCATGTAACAGTAACGGCGAATTGCAGATACGGAAGGTGTGCCAATGTTTTGTGTGCGGACCCAAACCTACCAAAAGAGCCACAATCACTTAATTATACTTCACATCACTTCGTGAGATCCACTTGATGGGTTACAAAGTCCCAGCATGACTTTAATGGTTTACTAACAGAGTGACGCTGTTTAGGAGGCTTGAATAAAAGGCAATAATCCTATTCCAGGCTGTAGGCGAACCTACAGGGCCTGCTTCAACATATACTTAATCTCTAGAAATCATTAAAGCTATTGTAGCAAACAAGCAGTAGTACAAATACAGAATAGGACTGATTTTCGTTTCCTCATCATATAAACACATATAGTGAAGTTCACAGGATCAGACCCACGCAAACAGATTATATTTTACAGCTTTTCAAGCAGAAATGGTGGTTTGTTTTTTTTTTTTTCTTCTGCCTGTACAGAAGGTTACTGTTGAACAAAACTATCACAGTTCATTCAAATGCACTGCCAGCAAACACCTGAAGTGGCACGGAGCTGCTGAGACATCCATCTAACTGGAAAGAGTAATCTGCTCAGGCCCCTCCTTTAATATTAATTACTGTGCTTTTTTTATTGATTTGATGCTGCTTTAAAAGGTTAAGAATGATAAAAATCAAGCCCTTAAGTACAGGTATTCTCAGCTTAAGTGCTACTCAAGCCACAGTCCACTCCTTTAGGACAGAGGGCAAGACAGGTTAGGGTTGGGGTGGTTTTTTCCCAATCAAAATTAACCTTACCACAATATATTGTGCCAGGCAGAGAAGAGAACTGCTGAAAGTACTGCAACATTGTAGTGCAGTTTCCTGAACAAAGCCATACATTCCCTCAAGTATAAAGTGTAAACTTAATAGCAAGTGTAAGACTTGAATTAAAAAAACAAAAAAAGCCATCACAGTATGGGTTGGTGGCTGCCTTTACTGATACACAAGAGGTACAATTTGTGCAATCATGTGGTGGGGAGGGGGCAGACCAGTAGGCAACGTGGTTTTGTGTTTGCTTTTTCCCACGTTAACAGCCAGCCTTGCTTCTGCCAAAGCGTGGTTAGCGTTTGCCGGCGCTGGCCGGCCGCATGCCGTGGGATCGTGCCTGGTACCAGTTTCTGGTAGCCATCGCAACCAAAGCAGCCAGCTTTAGTATTGTTGCACTGCAGCCTCTGGGCTCCTCCAAAGCAGCGGTGCACACTAATACATGTTTTGAGCGTTCCGCTGCCTGGGAGCCCGGCGTAGGCGGCTCTGGCGGGTCACAGCCCCGGCGTAGGCTTTCTATACTAAATTTGGGCCAGCTGTGCTGTTCACAGCCCGCGGCACCCTCGCCGCTGCCAAGGCAGGGGACAGCTCTTCCCTCTCCTGTGGGCCACTGCACTACGCCACTCACCGCCAGTGGTGGGGCCCTCCGGAAACGTGTTGAAATGTATCTCTGCCTCATCAATGCCTTGCCTCAAATCTAAGGGCTGGCCGCAGCCTAAGTGCCTCCAGGTGACCGAAGCAGAGTCCAGGGCAACAAAAGACTTCAGCTCTGTAGTGGAGGGGGACAGCTCTTCCCTCTCCTGTGGGCCACTGCACTACGCCACTCACCGCCAGTGGTGGGGCCCTCCGGAAACGTGTTGAAATGTATCTCTGCCTCATCAATGCCTTGCCTCAAATCTAAGGGCTGGCCGCAGCCTAAGTGCCTCCAGGTGACCGAAGCAGAGTCCAGGGCAACAAAAGACTTCAGCTCTGTAGTGGAGGGTGGGAGCATGCT